TCCATTTGTCTAAAAAAGTCTAATATTGGAACATGGTTTCAAAAATATCTTTTACAAAATCATTCGGTGGTTGAAAAAAAATTCCTGTGATTCACAGTGTTGTCTAAAAAAAAAATACTTTGAAAAAAATGCTGCATGTATTAATAGAAGCAGTTGATCAAATTCTTAAGTGAATGAAAACGACATGAAGAAATGACCTCGATGCTAACCCCGATCAGCGCAGCGTCTCCAAAAATATCTTCAGAAACTGAAGCCAGCCTTTGGTTGTATGACTGTTTATTTCTCCCAGATGAGTCTTAACATACTGCGTTTACTAGAGTGGAACCAGACGCAGCGGGAAAAAAAAAAACGGAAAACACGTGTTCCTTAAATCAGGAAAACTAATTAAACATAATTTCTAAATAATGAGGGTGAAGTGTCTGAATCCCACAAGTTCAACACTTTAATTAAAGTGGAATACAGTGGATTTCTGCTCCACTTTTTTTTTTGTTCTTTCTCTCCTGTCAATTGAAATGGAAAAAAAAAAAAATCCAGCTCCCCAAGAAAGCTCTGTGATGATTAAAAACCTAATCCTTCCAAATCTGCCTTAGAACACGGATATGAAACACATGAAATTAACCGTTTCTTTAACTCTTTTCAATACATTTTTGTATGTTGATGAAATATTATTTGAAGCTTTAATTAACAGGGATATAAATATATATGAATGCGTGTTTATCATGCAACGATAGAGCGAGCATCGGATGAAGACGGTGAGAGAGCCATCTACAGACAAAACACAGGTTACGCTACGTTACAGGGATGCTAGCTAACACACAATAATTCAATAACGCTACTCCTAAATATTGAAAACTGAATGCTGCCACCGAGATAGATCACGGGATGACTCGATCTGATACCCGGGATCGATATCGGTCCGATATTGGTCATTATTTCAGGATGGAATACCTTAGCCTAAATGCTCAACTTAACCTAGCGCGACATGTTTCAGGATGGAATACCTTAGCCTAAATATTCAATATAACCTGGCGTGACATACCGTAAACATGGACATTAGCGATACAGCAATGGTAGCCAATGGCATGTTGGAGAAGAGTAGAAGGTATCGGAGTGATATCAGTATCGGCAAATACCCCAAGTTGCAGTATCGGTATCGGACATGAAAAAGTTGTAGTTAGCCATCGCTAGTCCCTAAACGGTGGTTCAGACTATGGTTAAGAACCAGAGTGATTAGTTATGGTGAGGTGTGAGGTAGTGTGTGAGTTTACCAGCCGACCGACCGACCGACCTCTAACAGAAGAACACACGCTGCTAAGTAAACACACACACACGGTTTGCTGATAGTGTAGCTGCAGGGAAACAGTTCTTGGCAGCTCTGCCACACACTGGAACATTCCAGATTTTTCAATAACCAAATGAAAACACGCGCACACACACACACAGACATAAACACATATGTTGGATTCATAAATAAATACACAAATACCAACAAAGGGTGTTTGGAAACCACCCTTACATCCACACAATCTGTTTGATGATCTGGTTAAAAAAAATAAAAAATAAAAAACAGGACTTTATATTCCCTCCTCTCCCATTGGTAAATGAAGACAAATGGTTGTTCTTATGCTGTTTGGAAACAGACTAAACTGTTGGCCCGAGTTTACAGCCACAATGTGTTTCAAATGAGCATATTTAGAGTTCAGGAGTGGATATTTATTGATGCTACTGTTCCCGTCTGCTTCCTATTTGTAGAACTGCTGCAGAATGATGTCAAATAATCCACAATTATTTCTTCAGTCAACGTGTCCCAAATGTACTGGTTTATTCTTTGGTTTGTTTTTTCCACCACACCACTAGTCAAAACTGTGCACATGGAGCCGTTGTGTCGCCTGACAGTTCACTCTGCCGTGTTTAAATTTTAAAAATAGTGACTCCAGCTGAGACCGGCTGAGAGAAAGTGACAACGAATAGCTCTGCAAGACGGAAAGTGCTGAAGGAACGGATCACTTCAGGGTCAACGTGTTGATAAGAGAGTTGTCTGTAAGAATTCCCTGATTTATCATTGCAGCACAAGTGAGTTGCATGACCAGCCACACACACACACACACACACGCACACACACACACACACACACTCACACACAAGGGCTGTTGAAGTTGCTTTATCAGAAAAGGCAAAAATATCACAAATATGATTTGATAAACTAAATACATTTTTGGGGGGAAATCGGGATCGAAATTTGCATCTCGCGGCGGATTAGTTCAAACACATTAGATGAAGGGGCAATATTCATATCAAACATACAGTATATATGTGTATACAGATATACACATATATATGTACATATATACATATACACACATATATACAGATATATGTACATATACACATATATAGATAAATATGTACATATACACATATACATACACACATATATACATATATATTTACATATACATATACAGATATAAATACATATATGTACATATACATATACTAA